TGAAGTATAACGCGAGCGTCAATTTGCAGGAGCCCAAAAATGGGAATACATCTCTCCTTATTGCATCCGATAAAGGTTCAAATTAAAATTTGGAAATCATCGCTTCTTCTAAACATTCACTTGAATTTCCTGCATAGGTTATCTGGAAATAGTCTATTGTTTGATTAAAAACCATTCGAATGTTAATATTTTGAACAAAAATGGTCATTCTCCGCTTTATCTTGCAATTAAAAAAGGTAATTCATAACATAATTGGTAAATGGTTAATATTTCTAATGTACAAAATGGTTAAATATTATAAAATCAATCAATTTTCCTTCTATTTTATCATGAAATTGGTGTAGGCAATAAAAAAATCGCTGTTTTGCTCATCGAGAATGGAGCAAATGTTAGTTTTGAGCTTGGACCATGGAAACGTGCTATTTTCCGTTGTGTTGTGAACATTGGTAACACAGAGAAAATACAATCGATGTCTACATTTTGATCGACTAATTTTTAAATTCACTCGAAGTTCCAGGAATCGCGAGAAAAAATCAGCTAATCGCCACATTGAATAAAAAATCCGTGTATATCGATGAAGATGTCCGAGCTGCATTTTATGAAGCCATCGGAAAAGGTTTACATTTTGTATTTGTATTTCCATTTTAAAAGTGGAAGTAGAGTCAAATTCCCTTGATCATTTTCAACAAAAATTTTCGTCAAACGAAAACAACAAAAGAGAAAATATGTTGATAGAAGCACGTTTAGTGAGAATGCTCCATTCGATTCAGGATCCATCGAAGCGACATTTATTTGTACATAGCCAATGGTAATTGATCACCTAAAAATTAATTCGCAAAATACTTTGGTTTTCTCTACAGGTGATGTAAATTCCACGGAGTTAATCGTCAAAAATTGTATCAATAACTTAAGCAAAGATTGGTTGTCAGTTCACATCGCTGCAAGTAAAGGTTAGACTATTTTTTTGAGATTTTTTTCAGTGATCAAAGATTCTCGATGAAAAAAGAATAAGTATTTCGTTATATCGCCAACGAATCCACAAAAAATGGTTTTGAAAAGGGTTAAGTTAGCCTTTCTTTATAATAACATTTCCATCGAATAGGTCACGCGGAAATTTTAAAACTTCTGATTCAAAATGGTGCAAACGCAAGAGCCACAGATAAAAATGGAACACCACTCCTCTTTGTAGCGGTACTTAGCGGTAATTAAAAAAAAACATTTTTCGACGTGAATATTTCGTTGATAAAATACAAGGAATAAAAAAGAACAACCGAATGAAAACGGAATCAAATTCTAGGTCATGACAAAGTGATTAATACTTTGATTGAACACAATGTCGACATTAATATGAAAAACAAATACGGTAAAGCTGCTTTGCACGTTGCTATCGAGGCCGGATTAAAACGAATGGTTGAGTGTTTGATTGAAAATTCGGCAAATGTGAATGTTCTGGATGAACATGGAAATAGTGGGCTCATCCTCGCCATAAAGAAAGGTGAAAGTCTCAACCAGATTAAATTGGTTTCTGCCTAAGAAAACGCAATCAATGAACAGTAAGCTAAACATATTCCCATACAATTGATTTAGGTTTTGATGAAATTGTTGAACTGTTGATCGACAGCGGATCAGATTTTTATTTAGACTATGGAGAACCAGGGCAAGCTGCCATCGGCTGTGTTACACAAAATGGTAAAGCCAAATTTTATAAATCCGTCACATAAAACTTGGCTTCCTTTTTCATCAAAAACTGCTTGAATAAATGCATTTCAGCAAGCAGCAAAGTGATCGATGCACTTTCCAGGAAAGGCATACAAATTGCCAAAGATTGGGAAGCTGTACTCCGGAATGCATCTGAAATTGGTGAGTCTTTACAATGACATTGATTTATCAAACAAAGACAGATTTTCAACCATTAATCAATTGGAATTTTTGTAGGCGACACGAGGGGAACCGACCTAGTTATTAAATTTTGTGTTGCCAACAACAAGACGTTGAATGAAATGCTTCATTTGGAAGCCACCAATGGTAACAAGTCTTTTTTTGTTGTTAAAGAAGCCTATGTAAGAATCCGTGAGAGCTTTTTTGTCATTGACAGGCTCTTTCAAGATTTCATTTTCTCATTAGTGTGGTATGCATTCACCCAAAAACTAAATCTTATGGCATAGGTGGCGTCAATTTGATGAAGGCTCTGGTCAAAAACGGTGCTGACATCAATTCTACTGATCAACGGCAGAAAGCACCCCTTCATAAGGCGGCTACGAATGGTAATTATTCTTCCTATAATAACCGTGTCTATTTGATTTTGATCCATTTACAATTCAGGTCATGCGAATATCATCAAATTTCTCATTGAGAAAGGAGCTGACGTAAATCGTACTAACAACATAGGGGAAACGGCTCTTCATTTAGCCGCTATGCATGGTAAACACCTGTAAATTCTTGTATTCAAATCAAAGAGCATGAGAGACAAATCAAGAACATGGCTGTTGGTTTTTTTTCTCTTCTCCTTTATCATTATTTTAAAATTTACCTGGATCTAGGCAAGTTAGATGCCCTTAAAACGCTTATCCAACTTGGCGCCAACATTGAAGCCAAGGACTATGGCGGTGATACACCACTTTTTGAGGCAGCAATTAAAGGTAAATATTCGTGCATTCGTAACATTCATGATTTTTTATGCAAACACAATTCAAGACTTTGATCCAATTTCAATACAGGACATGTCGATATTGTGAAAACGCTCATCGAACACGGTGCCAATGTCAGTGCAAAGGCAGAAGCTGATTGGTTACCAATTCATGGGGCTGCATTAAATGGCGAGTATACATTTCTTCATTGATTTAAACTCCTTTTCTTTCATTTTTGTCATTGGTCAATTCTGAAAAAAATCAAAACGCTTCTAAGTCAAAAATTCATTGTTACGAATGACCTGTTTTATCACTAAACTCTGTTATGTTGATGTATTGTTTGTCCATTCACCAAATTCAGGTAGACTGAATGTTACTAGCCTTCTTATTAAACATGGTGCCCAAATAAACGCCAAGAACTTCGGTGGAGAAACACCACTTCACCTGGCTGCTCTTAACGCTAATTGGTCATTAATTCTCCTGCATTTAACTGTGTCGACTTTTCTTCTGATGTTCTTTTCGTTTAAAAATTTGTGCAAACAAATTCAGGTCATGCTGATGTCGTTCAGCTTCTCATCAAGAATGGTGCTGATGTTAATGCTCGCACTGAAGAGAATGAAACGCCATATGACCTCGCTAATAGTAAAAGTAAAATGTGCACATTTGTTTTAAAGATTAAGAAAGAAAATTGATTTGATTTCTTTTTCCAGATCACACGGAAGCGGCTAAATTATTATTAAAAGAAGCTCAAGCTTGAGCTCGTTCTCAGAGCTCAAGCTCCAGCTTGTGCTCAGAGCACGGTTCCAAAGACATCTAATACATTTTTCAGGCCTTCGTTCAAATTTTTGTTAAATAAACTTGTCTAATGATAGCGAACATTTATTGCCTTTTTCATTCACTGTAAGTTGGCTACAAATCAATACTTTCCTTTGTATCATTAATCTGATTCGAATACCTTCAAGATTATGAATAGAGTTGATAAGTGAGCACAATCGAATCGACATTAGGCTTCACCAAATTAAAGATATGAAGCTGTCAATCAAACAGTTCGAACAATTTGATTCAAATCTAAATGTTATCAGGGCATTTCAATTCATGTAATAAATTCTTCTCAATTGAAAAACCCTTTGTTTCGGCTGTACGTTGTTTTATTTTATAACGTTGTTTTATTTATTTTTTCGCTTTGTATCAAATTGAAAGAATCGTTCGACTCCGTTCGCGTGTACGCTATACGCGGCTGTATGTATGCGTCAATATGGTTCGTGTGTTTCTTTTTCTCGGTTTATCTCTTCCCATTCGTTCGTCGCATCAGCGTAGCCGGTACTTGCAAACAGCAAAAGATACGTGCTACTCGCAGTAGCTCCGCGATATTACGAAATATATTTTGAGAGCAAATGAGACCTCTGCATTTGAGTGGTCGGGAATAAAGATGACTAAAGTTAAACCACTTATGGATAACCGTAACAAAATATTCTTGATTTTTAAAAGTGCAACATAAATTCTGTTCGCTTGTAAGTGAATCGTAAAATATCTGTGGACTATAGAAATCGTGTTTCACTTTAATTGAAGCAAAAATGTTCGATACACTTTCAAGTACATTGGAATGATGATTCATTGTAAGGGTGGTTTTGGTTGTGATTTGGCTTCGGAGTGAAAATAAAGTGATAAGGAGCGTGAATTTCGATGTGCTGATAACACCATTGGATTGGGCACATGAAATACTGTATGAAAATCGAAAAAAAAAATTTAACTTTTTCTTTCGATTTTTGCCTGTTTCGGATCGTCTACATGCAAGTTATAGCGATTATGAATGAACGTAATGAGAAATGTAGCGAGAAATTACGTTCATTCATAATCGCTAGTGAAGCCACGCTGCCAAAACATGTACGTTCTTGTTTCCTTACTGCGCACTTCTTTTCTACGGTGAAGCAGACTGCTTTGTTGATGTGTATAACAATACGGGTAAAACCATAAATATATTGCCGGAATACCAAAAGACAGGCAATGACATCTCTAAACCAACTTATTGAATCATCGAATATTTTGAGCAACTTTTTTCAATCGTGTGTGGCTTGAGTTGAATCTAATCAACTTTACGGCGACACTAGCAGCTTCTCTGCACACACATCGTAGAAGAGAGTACAAAAATCATAGTATTTTGGTAAATGCATCGAGTAACCATTGCAAAACATCAATACGTTTTGGCTAACGCATAGTACCGGCCCACAGAGAAACTGTTAGCGTCGTCGTAAAGTTGATTATATTCTAGCAAAGCCATACACGTTTGAAAAAAGTTGCCGAAAAATACAATGATTCAATGAGTTGGAATTGAGATGGCATTGACTGCTATGTGTCAAATGACCTACATTTGAAATGTATTGTGGCACTTTCCCTATGGGTAAAACACCGGCGCTCGGAGGTTTTCATACAAAATTCCAATGTAGACGATCCGAAACAGACAAAAATCGAAAAAAAGTTAATTTTTTTTTTCGATTTTCATACAGTATTTCATCTGCCCAATCCAATGGTGTTATCGGCACATCGAAATTCACGCTCCTTATCACTTAATTTTCACTCCGAAGCCAAATTACAACCAAAACCACCATTACAATGAATCATCATTCCAATGGACTTGAAAGTGTATCGAACATTTTTGCTTCAATTAAAGTGAAACACGATTTCTTCACTTACAAGCGAACAGAATTTATGTTGCACTTTTAAAAATCAAGAATATTGTGTTACGGTTATCCATAAGTGGTTCAACTCTAGTCATTTTTATTCCCGACCACTCATTTAAACTGAGATGCCGATTTCTGTTCTGTCACTTTTAACGCAACATAACTAATATAAATCATTTGTCAAAGTTACTTTGTCGTGCGTTAGAGCCTTCATCGCCCTTTCAGCTTTGTTCTCGCATACAGTCAAACGCTTGCTTTATTATGAGCAAACATGTGTTTTAAGATTGCTGAGCATCTCAGCATTTCGTAAGGCACGGATATATCCGAGCATATCGACGACGCATAC